GACGGATTCACAGCCAAATTCTACCAGAGGTACAAGGAGGAGCTGGTACCATTCCTTCTGAAGCTATTCCTATCAATAGAGAAAGAGGGAATCCTCCCTAACTCATTTTATGAGGCCAACATCATCCTGATACCAAAGCCTGGCAGAGACACAACAAAAAAAGAGAATTTTAGACCAATATCCCTGATGAACCTCGATGCAAAAGTCCTCAATAAAATACTGGCAAACTGAATCCAGTAGCACATCAAAAAGCTTATCCACCATGATCAAGTGGGCTTCATCCCTGGGATGCAAGTCTGGTTCAACATACGCAAATCAATAAACGTAATCCAGCATATAAACAGAACCAAAGACAAAAACCACATGATTATCTCAATAGATGCAGAAAAGGCCTTTGATGAAATTCAATAGCCCTTCATGCTTAAAAGTCTCAATAAACTAGGTATTGATGGAACATATCTCAAAATAATAAGAGCTATTTATGACAAACCCACAGCCAATATCATACTGAATGGGCAAAAACTGGAAGCATTCCCTTTGAAAACTGGCACAAGACAGGGATGCCTTCTCTCACCACTCCTATTCAACATAGTGTTGGAAGTTTTGGGTAGGGCAATCAGGCAAGAGAAAGAAATAATGGGTATTCAGTTAGGAAAAGAATAAGTCAAATTGTCCCTGTTTGCAGATGACATGATTGTATATTTAGAAAACCCCATCATCTCAGCCCAAAATCTCCTTAAGCTGATAAGCAACTTCAGCAAAGTCTCAGGATACAAAATCAATGTACAAAAATCACAAGCATTCTTATACACCAGTAACAGACAAACGGAGAGCCAAATCATGAATGAACTCCCATTAACAATAGCTTCAAAGAGAATAAAATACTTAGGAATCCAACTTATAAGGGATGAAAGGACCTCTTCAAAGAGAACTACAAACCACTGCTTAGTGAAATAAAAGAGGACACAAACAAATGGAAGAATATACCATGCTCATGGATAGGAATAATCAATATCATGAAAATGGCCATACTGCGCAAGGTAATTTATAGATTCAAGGCCATCCCCATAAAGCTACCAATGACTTTCTTCACAGAATTGGAAAAAACTACTTTAAAGTTCATATGGAACCAAAAAACAGCTCACATTGCCAAGACAATCCTAAGCCAAAAGAACAAAGCTGGAGGCATCACGCTACCTCACTTCAAACTACACTACAACGCTACAGTAACCAAAACAACATGGTACTGGTACCAAAACAGAGATAGAGACCAATGAAACAGAACGGAGCCCTCAGAAATAATACCACATATCTACAGCCATCTGATCTTTGACAAACCTGACAAAAACAAGAAATGGGGAAAGGATTCCCTATTTAATAAATGGTGCTGGTAAAATTGACTAGCCATAAGTAGAAATAATACCACACATCTACTGCCATCTGATCTTTGACAAACCTGACAAAAACAAGAAATGGGGAAAGGATTCGCTATTTATTAAATAGTGCTGGGAAAATTGGCTAGCCATAAGTAGAAAGCTGAAACTGGATCCTTTCCTCACTCCTTATACGAAAATTAATTCAAGATGGATTAGAGACTTAAATGTTAGACCTAAAACCATAAAAACCCTAGAAGAAAACCTAGGTAATACCATTCAGGACATAGGCATGGGCAAGGACTTCATGTCTAAAACAGCAAAAGCAGTGGCAACAAAAGCCAAAAGCCAAAATCGACAAATGGGATCTCATTAAACTAAAGAGCTTCTGCACAGCAAAAAAAACTACCATCAGAATGAACAGGCAACTGACAGAATGGGAGAAAATTTTTGCAATCTACTCATCTGACAAAGAGCTAATATCCAGAACCCATAAAGAATTCAATCAAATTTACAAGAAAAAAACAAACAACCCCATGAAAAAGTGGGCAAAGGATATGAACAGACACTTCTCAACCGAAGACATTCATACGGCCTACAGACACATGAAAAAATGCTCATCATCACTCGCCATCAGAGAAATACAAATCAAAACCACAATGAGATACCATCTCACACTAGTTAGAATGGCAATCATTAAAAAGTCAGGAAACAACAGGTGCTGGAGAGGATGTGGTGGGACTGTAAACTAGTTAAACAGTGTTTTACACTGTTGGTGGGACTGTAAACTAGTTAAACCATTGTGGAAAACAGTGTGGCAATTCCTCAAGGATCTAGAACTAGAAATACCATTTGACTCAGCCATCCCATTACTGGGGATATACCCAAAGGATTATAAATCATGCTGCTATAAAGACACATGCACACGTATGTTTATTGTGGCACTATTCACAATAGCAAAGACTTGGAATCAACCCAAATGTCCATCAGTGACAGACTGGATTAAGAAAATGTGGCACATATACACCATGGAATACTAGGCAGCCATAAAAAAGGATGAGTTTGTGTCTTTTGTAGGGACATGGATGCAGCTGGAAACCGTCATTCTCAGCAAACTATCACAAGAACAGAAAACCAAACACCGCATCGCGTGTTCTCACTCACAGGTGGGAATTGAACAATGAGATCACTTGGACACAGGAAGAGGAACATCACACACCAGGTCCTATTGTGGGGAGCGGGGAGGGGCGAGAGATAGCATTAGGAGATATACCTAATGTAAATGACGAGTTAATGGGTGCAGCACACCAACATGGCACAAGTATACATATGTAACAAACCTGCACATTGTGCACATGTACCCTAGAACTTAAAGTATAACAAAAAAAAAAAAAAAAAAAAAAAGAAATACCTGTGACTGGGTAATTGATAAACAAAAGAGGTACAATTGGCTCATGGTTCTGCAGGCTGTACAGGACACCCTGAGGAGAGCTCCGGAAACTTTCAATCACAGTGAAGGTGAAGGGAAAGCAAGTATGTCTTCCATGGCTGGAGCAGAAGGAAGAGAGGGGCAGGAAGTGTTACACACTTTTAAACAACCAGATCTCATGCTAACTCACTCTTGTCACGACAACACCAAGGAGGATGGTGTTAAACCATGAGAAGCCGCCCCCATGATTCACTCACCTCCCTCCAGGTCCCACCTCCAATACTGGGATTATAATTTTACATGAGATTTGGCTGGGGACACAGATCCAAACCATATCACCAGACCTGGAACAAAGAATGGCTATTTAATATCGTGTACGCACCTGTTGCAGGTTGGGTTCCCCTGAGATAGAAATTAGGTTATGATAAGGAGCAGTCTCAAAATCAACACTTTTTGGAGAAGGGAAGAAAGCAAGATCAGACTTTGATATCATGCCAACAAAGTGCCTCTTTGTTGTGGTGGAGGCTTTCATGTGGATGTTGACTTGGAATACAAATTTCTCCATACTTTGTACCCACTTCCATGGATTCTCACATATCTCTTTGCCCCAGATTCTCTTTCTTCTCAAGTTTTCCAGTATTTCTCTCAGGATAAGCTCATGAGTTCATATATATTCTAAGGTCAAGCAACTTCTCTTTTCATACAAAATGAGTAATCAGTTTTGCTACCAAAAATTATGCCTGTTGGTAAGATTTTCTCATGTCTCTGTGTTTCAAGTCCACTCATAGGTGAGACCGCAGACAGAGAAGCTGCCATCCATTTTCAGCTAGTATCCACATGCCTAGTCTAGTTTGTGTCTTACTCTGTTAGTTTTTCTTAAGTGCCTTCTCTCAGCCCCCACAAACCATAGGTATGACCTGACTGAGAGGGACCAGCTCAGTGGTGGATGGCGTTGGGGGGTCTTAACCATTTGCTTATGCAGTTTACTTGTGCTTCTGCCCCTGCTTATATCCTACTTTAATTTTATAATGGATTGCTATTGGACCTGCCCAATATGATGACATTGTAACATTATAGCAAAACCCTATTCATAATAGGCAATTCTGGCTACAAGGTCTGACCCAAGACCCACCTCTACCAGGACCCAGAAGCACGTCAAAAGCTGTTTATTAAATGGTGTACTATCCTATGCTACAGGTGGCATAGCTTAGCTCTAAAAACCTAGAAGTCTCTGTTGTGATTTTCTGATGAAATTTGCCATAAAACTACATGGCATATTTTCCCACTGTAGATGCTTCCAATATTGAGCCTCTTGTGTTTTATGGCCCAAGTAGCAAAACTGCTTGCACCACAGCCTAGATCTACATCATATGCCTTTTCTGCTTTGCGCACCCCTCAACGCTGTAAGCATTCCACAACATTGCATATTGTGCCAGAGCAATATTTCCAGGCATGGAAGGATGCTACTTTTAAAACCAGAGTGGCCTAGCAGGTATTGATTGTGTTTCCATTTATTGTGAGAGCCTTTAGATGCAACAATTTGTCCTTTATTTTGGAGGGGATGTTCTGGCATATCCCAGGTCACTGGACTCCTAGACATTTAATCCAAGTATTGAGTAACAAAATGCTCCTTGTCTATTTGATGTACCTTTTCCAAAGTGCTACCCTTTCCAATTTTATTTTGTTTCTTTATGTAAAAATATGAGAAAGTTTTTGTGGCACTCCATTGAAAAATAGAACACATTTTAAGCATTTTCTCCTTGATGTGAAGTGTACTCTCTTAATCCAAGGCAGTTCAACTTAAGCTTCATTTATGCTTCATGAACTTGAAGTATTTTTAGTCTTTAAAGTTGCATCATGTCATGAAATGAAGTGGAACTATTGAAACACGCAAGCTAAATGTCATGTAGTTTCCTAAGCATATAAAAGAAATCTAGTCTATCTTGGGGGCAATTCAGGATGTGGAGCAGTAACCAAGCAAGTACTAGTTGATGTTAACACACATTGCATTTGACTGGAAATACGATTTCAGGTTGAGATATTTAAACAAAGAGTTGTTTAAGGGGAAGATACATAAACACTATCAATGAAGCTAATCATTTCCAAACCATAAAATATCTTGTTTTGAACTTGTTTGCTGAATGTTAACATTAATGCTTATTTTACCTTTTTTTTTAAAAAAAAAAAACAAAAAACAGATAACTTTGTGGTAGATTCCAGTTCTTGTGTGCGTGCCTGCCCTAGTTCCAAGATGGAAGTAGAAGAAAATGGGATTAAAATGTGTAAACCTTGCACTGACATTTGCCCAAAAGGTGAGTGGTAGCTCAGATTATTTAGTTAGAACTGGGCCTATATAACAAGGTTTTTAATTCAATTTTAAGTGTACCAACTTTTTAATATAAACCCACTCTCACAACCAAAACCTGCCCACACATGCTTTCCATAATTTTGGACAGTCACTCAAAATATGAACTTTTATAGCACTGTATATTATTGAGTTTGAATTATATCTACTAAAATGGTCCAGAAAAAAATTCAGGAGTAACACTGATAGGAACTCAGTTACATGTTATTCTGTCAATAGGAAATCTTAAAAGCTTTGTTAAAAAACAAGAGTTCACATGGTTATGTTGGCATCACAACACATATTAGTTGCTTGGCACTGTATACAAATTTATCTGCTAAGCATAAAAAGTGATGCATAGGGACCTGAAAGTTACTCTCCAGATCTTAAAAATATATTTGGAAAGATGAGATCTATGAAATTACAGGGAACTTTAACATAAGTTTAAAATAAATATATCAGATAATTCATGCCATAGAATTCTAGTGGAGGAAGGAATCTCTTCCAGCTGTGTGTAGTCTAAATCCTCACCAGAATGAAACCTAAATTAAGCCAGATGAAAATATAGTCTAAATCTCAGGAATGTTGTTAAAGTTTTCAAGGTATCAGGGAGTGCCTTAGAAAAGGACAAACTCCAGACTTACTTTACATGGTCTTTTCTCTCTTTCTCTCTGTTTTTTCCTTATCCCCTCTCTCTATTTCTCTATACACCACCCCGCGCCCCCCCCACACAAAAGTTGTTTTGTTTGTTTGTTTAAATTAGAAGCTTCCGAAAGCATGTTCAATTTAAGCATAAATATTTGAATGGCCCTTGATTTTGGTTATAATTCACATCATTAGACTCTTTATTTACATATATTCTCCATTAGACCACTGTTTTTAAAATTGCAAGTTGTAGAGCATTAGTATGTAAGCCATGAAATTATTTTACTAAAGTTACCAGCATTTCAAAATCATTAAAAATGATATTTTCAAATAAAGTAGAAAATAGATAATTTTATGTTGCTAGGAGGAGTATTGATTGATAAAATTTCTGTTAAACTTATGTATGTGTTGTGTGTGTATACTGGGTCTTGATATAAAATGTAATTTCTATGATGAGTCATGGTCATTCGATTTTAATGCAGGGACAAGTTTTTAAAGCAGAACCAGTAGTGAATGTTGAATGAATGAATAATTATTTTACTTTTTAGAAAACAAAATTTGTAATATATTTTTATATGTTGCAATTAAAAATACTCTGCTATTTTACAATGAAGATGCAATGATTTATTGGCCAAAAATAAGTTTCTCAGTCCCCTAACTCTGAGTCTTGTTTCTACAGCTTGTGATGGCATTGGCACAGGATCATTGATGTCAGCTCAGACTGTGGATTCCAGTAACATTGACAAATTCATAAACTGTACCAAGATCAATGGGAATTTGATCTTTCTAGTCACTGGTATTCACGGGTCAGTATTACATTTTTGTGCAAGCTATTTTACAAAGTGTAGAGGAAACTGAAGAGATTCTTTAGTTGTGTTTATTTGATTCTTCTGGAACCTGAAGAGTTTCACCTTTCATTAATGCTCCTCAAAACAAAAGCAAGGGCCTGATTTCACCAGTAATGGCAGTATAATATAGTATAATGACATTATAGTATAATGAAAGTATAATGACATTCCAAAATACCTGTTTTGGAATGTGCTCAAATTTTAGTTTGGTGACTATTTAAGGTTGAAAATATAAATTTGTATTTAAACTAAATTATGTTTTAGGATATTCTCCTCAAATCCACAGTTTTCAGCAAGCTTGACTTATTTTTAGATATGTTTAGAGGAAAATTCATTCAAACTTCTAACTGATTCGTGAGAAAACATGAATTAATATCCTTTAAAATGTCTCACATAAAACTAATCAGTAAGTTGAAATTCCCCTGAGCTTCTTCCAGAAATTCTTTGTCCTGATGTCCTGATGTATTATTTTTGTCTTTTTTCCCTTAAGTTGGGAAGTTAGCACCACTGTGAGAGATGCTGCTAAATGAGTTTCATTTTGGTAATAAAAATTGTAACGTGATTTATCTGGGCTCCTTCATTACAGAATCCCCTGCTGGTTTTAACTGGAAAACAAACGTGTTTGCATTCTTTGAATGTCAGTATTTTAACATTGTATGTTATCTGTTTGTCTATATTACTACTTAATCCCTAAATATTAGCGCTGCAGGCTACAGATAAAGAATATCTCTCATATGTTTCAATTCAAAATCTTACTCTGAACATATATCAGATCATTTCTAAAAGCAAACTAATTTAACATAATATGAATAAATATGTCCAAATGGGAATGGCAAGAACAATAGAACAAAGTGTTTCTTTTCATTCAAATCAATTATTTGCATTATTGCTAATATTTGTTTATTTTAATAGGTAGCTTTTAATACGGTCCCATGTTAGATAGCATAATAGTATGTGTGCAGCTGCCACCCCATAATTGTTGTATCTGTCTTAAGAAATGTTTTTTGTTCTTTTGTTTTTTTGTTTTTACTTACGTTTTAAAATGTATAGACTTGGTAATTCTCAGCCCATATTCCTACATGGCAACAATTTGTTGGAACTGCGTAGCCATATTAATCAGTTATCACGCTGTTAATAAAGACACACCCGAGACTGGGTAATTTACAAAGAAAAAAGAGGTTTGGTGGACTCACAGTCCCACATGGCTGGGGAGGCCTCACAATCATGATGGAAGGCAAAGGAGGAGAAATGCATGTCATACATGGTGGCAGGCAAGAGACGGTTTGTGTAGGGGAGCTCCCCTGTAGAAAACCATCAGATCTCGTGAGACTTATTCACTATCATGAGAACAGCATGGGAAAGACCCACCCCCATGATTCAGTTACATCCCACTGGGTCCCTCCCACAACATGTGGGAATTGTAGGAGCTACAATTCAATGTGATATTTTGATGAGGACACAGGCAAAGCATATCAGTAGCACTAGTCATTTTGAGATGGGACACACTTAATCAACTTTACCATAGTCCGCACTGGCCTTCCGAATCCATTTACATTGCTGTCTTACCCTCCTTTCCCTATTGCATAGGAGACCTGGTACAATATTTAGGTGCTTCTTCATAATTTAATGCATCTATTTAATAAAGCAATATACCCACAATTTGACTATGTTTAAAACCAAATATCACATGAATGTAAGATTACATTATGCTGATAATGTCTTCTGAGAAATAAGAAGATAGAGCCACTTTGACTCACATTGCCTACTTTCACCTGGAAATAATAAATGAATTAGCCTCAAGCCTTTCACTATGGGGAATGATTTGAAATCATATTCACATGAACTGCATTAGACAAGTTGTTTTTATCCTTATCGGGCCCAACATTCCGCTTTTATATATTAAAAAATTGCCACTTTTCAATTCTGAAATAAAATTTATAGATAATGTAACCTAAATATATATATATATATTTAATTATTATAATTCTTTAGTTGTAATTTTAAAAAAATACAAAAAAAGTAAGGTACAATAAAATAAGTATTGTTAGGGGAATGCCCAGTTTCCAATTATATAAAAGTTTGAATTTATGAAAAATGAGATTAGAAGACATTTTTGTGTAAGAAGTACCAGGAAATAAAAAGCAGAGGAACAACTGACCACTGGAAGAGAAAACCACTAGCCAGACACATTGTTATATGACAAAAGAAAGAGGGAAATGACTTTCATTGAAATTGGAGTAAATTGCTTCTCGACTTTTTGGCTAAGATCAAGTGAAATTGGAGCAACACGACTAGGGAATTATACCTGGCCAGAGTATAACCAAGCATGAAGTTTGCACATATGAGGTCCTAAATGTCTAGTAGGACATTTTAAGGTTGTATAAAACATGATGCAATCCTTTGATTTAAGAGAAATTAACTACCTTGTGATAAACCCTGTAAACTACAGGATCCACCAGTCTCTGTTACAACTGAAGCAGCTCTACAGATGTGCCAACTTCCTGTTAGTGGGGTGATGCTGCCCCCAGTGAGAAATACTGCAAGAATTCTGTGACAGTAGAAAGATTGCAGACCACCAAAAGTGACCTGCTAAGGCTAAAATTCTTAAAGATAAAACATGGGTAGGAAGGTTTCAAAAATATTTTATTTAGTGAGGTTCAGATTATTTTAGTCTTGGTTCATCATAGAACATAATTATTAAATCTCTAGATATCTACTAGTTATAAAATGACTCTCTCTCTATATATATATAATATGTAGCCATATATATATATTCACCTCTGGCCCAGAGTGGAGGAATGTTTAATAAATAAATGTAATAAAAAATGGAAACAGGTAGTCCAATGAATAAAAATGCATCAGGCAATAAGGAGCGTGCATTTCCAAGTTTATTGGAAGAATACTACGTTAGACTAACCCTGACTTCTAAGGAGAAAAATATTGCTCATTCATCCAGGTGAAAAATTACTTATGGAAAATCAACTTACATGGATTAGAAGTAGAAAAGTAAACCAAGTTTGTCTCAAGCATAAACTTAGAAAATGAGAGTTGGAATTTCTTCTTGGACAATTGGATCCAGAGCAGATTGGAATGTGATTTGTATCTCCACCATGGAGGATTTGCGTTGAATTGGGTGGCTTTCTCTCACGTCAAACACTAGGTTTCCTCCAATAAAAAACTTGAGAAATGGATTAACAATAAATACCTATTTCGTATGATTATTGTGGTGATTAAAAACAAAAGTTGTTTTGAATTGCTCAGCGCAGTGCCTGGCATATTGTAAAACCTTAACAAATGGTATCAAATAGAAGGTTGGAAGTGTGGGGAAAGAGGGAAAGATAGTGAGAGAGAGAGAGAGAAGGATGAGAACAGAGAGAAATGAAAATCAATAAAAAACAAAACAAGAGGAGGAGAAGACAGTGCAGAGAAATGAAAATCAATAAAAAACAAAACAAGAGGAGAAGAAGACAGTGCAAAAGAAAAATCGCAGTGCCTATGTCTCGTTTATAGCACAGCATGTTGTGCAACAAATATTAATTTTATAGACTTGATTATAGTCTTATATAGACTTTTGGAAACCAAATAAAGGCAAAATTTTCCTTATGATGACTCATGGTTCTTAGTTTAGATGATTATTTGTCCTTGATGATAGCACTTATACCTGGAATATTTAAAATTATAATTATAATTGGGTCTCAAGCATAATTTATAAGGTATTTTCCAGGACAAACATATAAATGAATTATGATGTATTCTTTATTCTCACTGTCATGCCAGCATGAAACATATATTCTGAAGCCTTTCTCTTTCATCTGAGGAAAGTATGGCTATAGAGTTAATTCAGTAGACTTAGACATGTTATATATGTGTAGATACAAGTATGGTCATGAATGTAATTTGTGTGTGTGTATGTTTGTGTGTGTAAGCACAGAGATATTTTAAAGGTGAACAATACAGAGTATTATAAGCAGAAAACTTGCAATGAATTAAAGAAATGTTTTACCTCACTTAATTTCCATTACCCACAGTATTTTACTAACTAGCTCTTAATAAGATCGTATGATTTAATTAAAATAGCTGAGATGTTTTTAACTAATAAAATGCAAAAATAACAATTTAATGAGGTTGTTATGCTTTTTAAAAATAAGTTGCTCCATAAAAGATGGCAATTTATCAATTAAAATTTTAATATATAATTGGGCTCAAGAAAGTTAATGGGCAAGTTTAGTTTACAGTACAATAGTACCATTGCCAGAAATAGTAGTAGGTACTCATTTTCTTATTTAGGATAGGAACTGCAGGAAAGTGTAGTGCTTAGGGTTATCATTAGGAAAACTTTTCCTTCATGTTTTGTTATGTTTTACACTGTTGATGGGCATGTGCTTAGAGTAACAAAATACTCACCAAATAAGCATGTTCATGCTGTGTCACAATGAGACACTGGCAAGAAAGGGTTTACATGGTAGACTGCAATGGTGATAGACAATGGAAGAGAAATAATAAGCTTGATGATAAAACAAAGTGATTTCAGTGGAAATGAAAATATGTTTCTCTGTCTTTCTCCTGAGCTTTATTTTGGATCACCAAACACAATGACAGGATAGACATAACGTTCTTTTGCATGGCTCTGAATTTAGTTAGGAAAGTTAATTGTTTTAAAGTACTATGTATTTCGAGTGGCTACAGGATGCAACTCCCAAGACATACTTTGAAGTCAGTGAGTGGAATTCTGTCAACTTATTTTACAAGAGTCCTGAATCTCTAAAATTAAATGTATAAAATATCTGTGGTCCGTTGGGCTTCATGTTAACATTCCGGAATTCATTTCATTCCCGGTAACATAGAAGTGTTCTCAGTAAAGGTTTGGACTGACCCCGTTATTGTGTGCTTGCCCTGAATTTTGAGTCTTTCTCAATAAAGGCAGAATATTTGATTATATGACCTGAGCTGTTCTATACACTGCTTTTCATCAAAGAACAAATGTTGAAAGCTCATTCTTGTACTGCAGAGCTGATATTTCCTCTGTATACAAAATTCTTTGCACATTAAAAAGTGAAGGCAAGAGTTTTCCTACATGATACACTTCATTTTTGGCTTCATATTCATCGAAAGCATAGTTATTTGTTCCATATATCTTTGCTTGTAAATAGAGAAAGTTTGCTAGAACGTTTAATTGAGACTTTAAGCTTTTGTGAGATATTAATATGACATTGAGAAAATTTTAATCAATAGTTTATGTGTGAATTATAGGGAAACACATTTTTAGTGTTTCTCCAACCTCAGCAATATCCAGTATTTGAGCCTAGTATAAAGTACTCCATGTTAAACTAGCAGTACATTGTATTGATTGCACTTCTTGGTTTGAAACAGTAATTTAATCAAGCAAATTTTTTTTAAAGATGTGGAATGCTTTGCAGTAGAGAAGAATATGCTGATGAACCAAGTTCAGAAAGCCAGTACAAGGTGGTTCCAGAGATCAAGTTGCTGGAACTGATACTCTTTTCAAGACTTGAATGCTGGCATGAATAAATGCCAATGGATTCAGACACAAATCCTCAGGACATAGGCCATATGCCTATCTGTTTGTCAGGCGATTATGGAGCATGTTGATTGATAGCCCTATTAAGGCTACTTAGAGTGGATCACTAGTGGTTATTCACCCTACCGAAAAGGAATGTTCTCAGAGACCGGTAAAAGAAGAGATATCTACAGTAAGAATAAAATTTGTTTGACTGCTACAGGTAGATACATACTTCTAAAAAAGCCTAAGATCACTGTTCTTAGAAGTTTTGACCTATCTTGAAGAAGCAGCCAATGGATAAAATTTAATCTCTCTGTAAATGATATATGTTAATATGAGGTGTCTACCTAGGATAGCACGAAATGTCTTTTAATGTAATAAAATTTTAAAACTTACTGTGGATTTCTTAAAAATAAAAAACAAAACTGGAAGTCTTACTTGAATTCATATACATGGAAGCGAATAGTTCCTGTGTTATAAACGTGAATATGAATAAGCTAGATAGGAACAAGATGGTTCTAAGTAATCTGTATGAAGAGATACTTTTGGACAATGTCATAAATATTATGAAAATTCATGAGTAGATAAATGTAGAGCTACAGAAGAAAAAAATGTCAATTTTATCTGTGCTTGTTTCTATCCTTCTTATGAATTCCAGGTACTATTAGCAATGTATACTTCTTTGAGGAGCAGAAATACCAGTTGTTCTCACTATAATATAATTTATTTCTAGACTATATATATTCTTCCAAATCAATAATAAACTTTTAAAACAAAGCAATGTCAAGTGGTTCATACATGAACTTGCTATCTTTGAGAATTTCATCAGAATAGTTCAATCTGAATAATCTTATAGATCTAGAATAGGCTTTGATGAAAATCTCATATTTTGTGACATCAAAAATGTCCACAAAACACCTATTATTCCTCCTCCACATCTAGCACAGATTAATTTAGACATGCATTGATAACGCCCCTATTGCTAATTAAAATTAAATTAGAATAAAATAACTACTGTCACATTTCTCATATTTTCACTCCTTTATTAAAATTTAAATTTGGCTACGTTTCTTCTTGATTTTCTAGGGACCCTTACAATGCAATTGAAGCCATAGACCCAGAGAAACTGAATGTCTTTCGGACAGTCAGAGAGATAACAGGTAATTTTTTAAACTGCAACTGTTGTGCTATGAACAACGTAATTTAAAAAAAAAAAATTACATAAGATTGGCTGGGCACAGTGGCTCATGCCTGTAATCCCAGCACTTTGAGAAGTCAAGGCGGGTGGATCACGAGATCAGGAGATTGAGACCATCCTGGCCAACATGGTGAAACCCTGTCTCTACTAAAAATACAAAAATTAGCTGGGTGTGGTGGTGCGTGCCTGTAATCCCAGCCACTCAGGAGGCTGAGGCAGGAAAATTGCTTGAACCCAGGAGGTGGAGATTGCAGTGAGCCAAGATCACGCTGCTGCACTCCACCCTGGCAATAGAGTGAGACTCCATCACAAAATAACAACAAAAAAGAAAACAAAACAGAAAAAGTTACATAAGATTGGAATAAGCAACTAATTTTCAAAGCAGATTTTAGTTTGTAAAAACTCGTATTATTTTTAAAGATGGTATTAGCTTTTATGCATATTTTGAAAGCCCATGGAATTACAAAATGAGTGTCTTTGAAAGTCTGACATTACAACTCTTGCAAGTGTCAACTGATCTTTGAACCCATGTTTTTCTGTTTACTTCTTCAAAAGAAGTACTCTTGAACATGGATAACATGTAGCATTTATTTAGCACATATATATTAAGCCTGTAATGTGTTCAACATTGTCTTAGTGGGTAATGTGGGGCCCATAGATATGAATCAGACATGGACTTACTGTAAAATAATGCAAAATCTAATGAGAAAGGTTAGATACGTATATAAATGTCTTAGAATATAAGGGTGACACTGATATCGTAAGTATACAGATGAAGAGGTAAAAGATTTCAGAGAAATTGAAACTATATTTTTCTCTTCATCTAGTTAGACTACATTCTTGCATTTATAAGAATAAATCAAATTGAGTCATTGAAACCTTTCAACATATAAAGTTTTACTGGGTAAGAGACTCAATCTTGGAAGAATACATACGTAATAGAGTGCTTCAAAAATAGAAATGTTCACTACTCCTTTCTCACTTCCCACCTTTCAACATGTTTTCACCATATTTCAAGAAAAATCAGCACTAATACTAAGACAATGATATTCTGATTTATTTTTACTACTCTTCACTTGTAGGTTTCCTGAACATACAGTCATGGCCGCCAAACATGACTGATTTCAGTGTTTTTTCTAACCTAGTGACCATTGGTGGAAGAGTACTCTATAGGTAAGTGGATATGTTTAAAGTTGCAGGTCTCACAGATTTCAAGAGGAGCATCGTCTGGGCATTAAGTCAAAATCATCACTCTTATTGATTTACTGATTCTGGGGAAATCATGCTTCCATCCTTATTTCCAAAGATAAGCTCATTGAAAATACCTCCAATGATGGTATGAAGTATTACAGAATACATAGTTTGATTTTTTCAATTGTCTGTCACTCAAAATAATATTAGTATTTTGCAAGTATGGGGTGCAAGATATGAACAATTAACGAAACTTTCTTTTTTATCAGATGTTATCATAATTAAAAGATAAGAGTTGTGTGACTTGGTAATGGCTCGGGTGTATAGGATACAAATGCTGTTGTGCCAGGAGATTCTGTTCTTGTCTCTGGTGCTATAATTTGAACTACACATCACAGGGCTGATGTTTTAGGAACAGGTCCGCCATTCTACATGTTCTGCTGGTTAATAAATGGACAAGAAAATTCAGGTTTAGAAGGACATTGATAAAATTATAATGTCAATAATTTAAATTCACATTATAAGAGTAAATAACAGGTTTCTTCAATGTCATCTGTATGACGTTCTTATTTATGAGCAATTAAAAGTCAATTTACATAAGAATTTTTAAAATTTGTTTACTTAAGTTCAAAATATCTCCAAAATTAATATCATCATTGATTTTATAATAATGTTTTATAAAAAGTACATTGAATTTCACTATTAAAATTTAAAAGTTATATTTATAAGAGGTTTTAAAAATGTAAAGGAAAATGGAGCTTAATAAGAAAGGATAGTCAAGAGATACAATCTATTAAAGTGCTATATGTAAACAACTTTTACTATCCTTTGAATAAATATTATAAGCCATTCGAGACATTGTGCTAACATTGTAATCAACAACTCAAGATAGTTATGATGGGGACAAAATTTGAGAGAAAGAGCTGCATCTTGGTCTTTATCATTGAGCATACACACACACAAACACACACACACACATTCTGACAACCATGGAAGATAAATCTAAATATTAACAGCAAAGAATATTTAAAACTAAAAATAAAAGTGGAAAGCATTGATCTCCAAAATGTAAAATAATATTCATTAACTGATTGAAATATGGGAAGCATGTTTATGCTTTAGAGAATGGAAAAGTAAATAAGTAAAAAAATAAAATAAGTAAAAAAGTAAATAATTACAATAATGTGGATTATATTAAAATAAAAGTAGTTTCCTTGATTTTTCAATCGTCTGTCACTCAAAGTAATATTAGTATTTTCCAAGCATGGAGTGCATGATGTGAGCAATTCTAAACAGGGTAGTTGTTATTTAACTTTTAGAGACCTTTTCCCCAGATACCCAAGGCATCTGAGTTTGTTTTCTTTTTCTAATTTTAGTTTAGTTTTATTCTTTACTTTTTACCGTCTCCTAACCTTACTTACACATGCCTCAATTATTACAGTTCTGGTGTCTGAGGTATTAAAGTAAAGCTAAATACCTATAATCATTTTCTGAAATTATTTAGACATACTCTGAAAGTATGTCTATATGTCTAAATCTATTACATAAAAAGGAATTAATGTCTTACTTTGAGTAGATGAACGATTGTTTTATAAACACTTCTTTAGTGTTAATACAGGATTTCATCATTGAACAATGTAAAGTTAAGGCTTGGGGTGGGAAGATAGTGAGCAGATATTTCAGTGGTAAATATATACACAGAAATAGAGATACACTGCCAATATGCATAACTGTAAGCAATGGAAATTTTACTTTGGGAGGTCAAATTATTACTTTAAAAACTGTATATAGCATGTAAAAACAAATATCATTCAAAACACAGAGTTACTGATTCAGTCTCTATTTACACTCCATTAACATTCTTTTAAAAATAAAATATGAAAGCCTTATTTTACTCCAGAATGTGTCTCATGGTTCCATTTTCTCCCTTCCCCCTCCTTAGTGGCCTCTCCTTGCTTATCCTCAAGCAACAGGGCATCACCTCTCTACAGTTCCAGTCCCTGAAGGAAATCAGCGCAGGAAACATCTATATTACTGACAACAGCAACTTGTGTTATTATCATACCATTAACTGGACAACACTCTTCAGCACAATCAACCAAAGAATAGTAATCCGGGACAATAGAAAAGCTGAAAACTGTAGTAAGTACATTACTCAGACATTTAAAACATAGAAACTTAATTTTTTTCCCATTCTTTTTTGGACCAAAAAATTAAAAATAACATCAGGTCAGAATTGTTGCTTTGTTATCCCAACCCTTAAAAAGGAAGGTAGTTATTACAATTGCCAATATGATATAAAATAATCAGAGTAAGTGACTTTCTACAACATATGGCATATTTATTTGCAAGATGTCTTACCTAATCTTAAGAACGCTCCTGTGGAGATTTGAATTCAGTATGTCTAAATGGAACCTGGGTATTTAAATCATTGGCATCCCAGGTAATTTCAAGGATCCAGTCAATGTGTGGAGATCCACCCTATTGAATTCTCTGTTTGTTGTTTGGTTTCAGTGAGTTTCATAACAGAATAACAGAGTTTTGCCATTTAGAGGTGGTGAGAAAAATGAAGTTGTATTTTTCTAACATGTGTAAAAACTACTATTCAAGAAGTACATTGTTCAAGATGTTTTGTTGTTCAGAAAAAGTTTACTTTATTAATGCATTTATGTAGACATGTATTTATCATTTTTTCATCTGTTTTGCTACTTATTGATTCATTTAATAATTTCTCATTTACTCTGAAGCAAATAATGCTTTTGTAGGCACATGACTATGCCATTCCTATCTAATGCACTGATATTCCAATGATTTATACTTAATTCTTCCCTGTTTTTCTACTGAATACTACTCTTTCCTACATCCTATGAGTGCCACTATTATGAGTACAATCATCAGACTTATTATGGTAAATACTGAATAAAAAGACTCCGAACTCAAATGATCTGTTTGCAAATGAATATTCTTGTTGTGGGCACAAAATCAATCCGTTCTAAAAGGCAGAACCCTAGAAAATTCTGCTCTCAGAGTATTTTACTTCTTTGATCTCTCCATTAAAACAATCATAAGGGTATACATGAGTAATGATTGAGTTTGTGTGTGTGTGTGTGTGTGTGTGTGAATAAATAGAAGACTTTTTTAAAAGTTATAAACTCTTAAGAGGCCAACATAATTTGTTTATTGAGTTTTCAGTGAATCAATTGATTTATTAAGATCCCATCTTGTTCCAGAAATAATTTAAGACAGCTCAGTCTACTAATCTTCATAAAATATAATTTATGATTAATTCTCTTATATTTTAGCTCTTTTCGATCCTTAAAAATATTTCTAAATGAAGGAGATCTATCCCAATATGAGATTCCTGCTAAGAGTGAACTTAAGTTCTTACTCATTCTTCTGTTCCACATAGAATCACGAAATATAAAATCTAATTGTGTATCAAAATATGCATGTTATATTGAATGATATTCATTATTTCATTTGGCCTATGTTATTTCCTTGGTTTTACACATTACTGATTTCTAAAAGAAAATTTGCTTTGCTTTTTCCCTAATGCTTAAGCTTATCCCACATCACAATATGTGTGTGTATATGCCCCAAAGTAGATGATTCATGGCAATAAGATAGATTCTTCTTCAATACCAATTGATAAATGTTTCCCTAAATCAGGGTTATACTCTTGTTTCCTTCGACATCCTTAAAAAAATTAGTACCTCTATCTTTCAAAAATTTAACTATGAATTCAAAATAATGTAAAGAAATATATAAAAGAATCAGAAAAAAACATTCTTCCTCTTTGATGCACTTAATCAGTTTACAAATCCTACAAAAATTCATATTTCATATATCTTTCTATACTTGAAAAGCAAATGGGAAGAAGAAAATGCAAAAAATAAATGTAGGGAAACAAGATGAGAAAAAGGGATATTTCAGTAAATTATATAATGTTATTTTACACTTCTTTAAAACTTCTAAACATTTCAAATGACCAAAAGGGAGTGAATAATAATAATAATGATAATAACTAAAATATAAAATGTGTTTAAACTTTCAGTGTTATGCTTCTTGGATTGAGGTTAACTACTTTTCAGACCATAGACATATTTTTTTTTGTTCTGTGCACAAGAATTGACTTTGCAGTTTGGGGAAAAAAATGAAGCAGTTAGGAGAAACATAGTTTTGTGGTGCTATAGTATCAAGCATATCATTTTTCATTTTTAACATATTAGAATAAATATATTTTGCATGGAATTCATTTATCAAAATTTGGACTTCAGACTCACAGCACACTGGATCCATAAAAATTCCATATGCCTCCATTTTCAGAAATATAATTACCCTGTAAACTTGACCTCAGAGATGCTGCTGATGTTTACGATCCCCAGTACTATTTGTAAATGGGAATGTCTAAATGCTTGCTTCATTTTAAATGCACTGTAAATGTTTCCTTTTTGGATATTCCATCTTGGTATATCATACACACACAAGATGTACATGAGCATACACATATGTTCACTACAACACCTAAACATATATGCATATACAGAGTGGATGTCTGTATGCTGTTCCATATACAACACACATGTATATACACACACCTAGTAAACATATCCATGCATACACACCCTTACTTGCCCACTTACATTTACACACAGTTACCGTGAAATACTCTGACCTAAATCTAAGAGTTGGCTTATGAACTTAATGAAAAGGCAGTCCTTCATTTGTAATGGTGTGTTTTGGAGTTCAGCATGATTTAAAACAGTAATGACAATATAAAAAAAGGTTAACTCATCTATAAAGGCTAACAGTGGCTAGAGCAATCTTACTCTTTTAAGTCAAAAATTTCAAAGCTGATTTGAAGAGATTGAGATTGAGGGAAACTCTGGGACATGAAAAGCTAGAATATTTTGGACCTCTGTCATTTATGTGGTTATGATAGTAACCAAATTGCAGTGTTAGGTGGAAGAAGTTTTAGAGTAGATTTATAAAAGCATTTGAAGTTTCTTAAAATATTTAAGCATAAATTTTTAATACTGAAATATAAACAATGTAGAGATAAATATTACACCAGCCCTTCAGAATCCGAGTTATATTTGAACTTATATATCTCAATTCTCAAGTCTTTAAAATATTTGTACAGATACTGTTAAACTCAACATGAAATTAAATTCATTATTGATTTTCAAAATAAAAATATTTTTATTTTTCCAATTATAATAGTACCTTTTTCATTATTCAAAATAAAACCAATCAAAAATATATAAAAATATTTTTAAAACTATATTATATATAATTCTTGGTGAATATATTTTTCATATATATAGATAAGGATAGTGAAATATATATTTTCATATATAAATGGGATCATACCATTTCTATTTAAATACCATTCAGTCATCTATGTCTTATACTTAATATAGTATAAGCATTAGTATAAGCATCTCACATTCAATAGATAGAGCTCTTCCTTATTCTTTTTTTTTTTTTTTTTTTTTTTTTTTTTTGAGATGGAGTCTCACTCTTGTTGCCCAGGCTGGAGTGCAATGGCACGATCTTGGCCCACCACAACCTTTGCCTCCCGGGTTCAAGCGATTCTCCTGCCTCAGCCTCCTGAGTAACTGAGATTACAGGCATGCAACACCACACCTGGCTAATTTTGTATTTTAGTTTCTTCATGTTGGTTAGGCTAGTCTCGAACTCCTGACCTCAGCTGGTCCACCCACCTCGGCCTCCCAAAGTGCTGGGATTACAGGTGTAAGCCACCATGCCTGGCCTTCCTCATTCCTTTTTAAAGCTATTTATAGAAGTATTCTGGACCAGTACCATATTAATTGTATTTTAAATTATTTTCCATTTTTATATTATCACTGCTGCCATGATGTGTATCTAGTTTATGAAACATTTTGTAGTGTACAATTATCTCCTGTGGCTAAAACCTTAGATGTAGAATTTCTCTGTAAATGAGGCTACATAAAAATTTTCTCACTAATTTCTCTGTCATCTTCTGAAAATACTAAATCAATTAACCTTGTTGCAAACACTGTGTGATAGTAATATTTTCCACTACTCTTTAAATCACTAGATATTATCTATGGTTTTAAATTTCAGTGATCTAAAGGAAGAAAAGAAGTATTTTATATTTACATGATTAATTCATCTTTTTTTATCTTGTAAATTGCTTTATATGTGAACTTTGTTCATTTTTAATTTGGGGGTTGTTCTTTTTCTCCTAAATTTGAAAAAACTATTTACAAATTAAATTTATTAAATTTTGTTCCTTAAATGTGTTGGAAATAAGTTCCTCTCTTACTGGTAATTTGAATAATTTGTCTTTTGATAATCCAATGTTTATCAAACCATATTTTTATATAGTTAAGTGGTTAGATTGTTCTTTTCCTTTTTAATTGTTTGATCTTGTATTTTTAGATAATTCTTTTCATCTAGTACTTTAAAAAAATATTGAAATTTTTAACACATCTTGACGTTTTGGCATAGCGTTTTTAAAAAATTCCTGATTGCGATGTGGATCCAAAATAATTTATTAAACAACCCATCTCTCCTTATTGACTTTAGCTAATCAGCTAACAAATCAGCTAAAAGGTGCCAGACTCTATCTCTCAACCTAGGTATATTGTTTAATTTAGTTATTACAACCACCCTGTAAAGTATAATCATCTGCATTTGCAGATGAGTATACATTTATTAAGACAGTTAAATAATATTTCCAGTTTTGGCGCTACTAAAATCATATTAAGGACTTCAACCCAATGCCTGTCTGACTTCGAAGTCTAGGCCCTTAATTTAACCGTGATTCCTCTCAAAATAAAGAAAACGTTGGCTGGGCGTGGTGGCTCATGCCTGTAATCCCAGCACTTTGGGAGGCAGAGGTGGGCAGATCACCTGAGGTCAGGAGTTCGAGACCAGCCTGGCCAATATGGTGAAACCCCGTCTCTACTAAAAATACAAAAATTAGCCAGGTGTTGTGATGCACACCTGTAATCCCACCTACTCGGGAGGCTGAGGCAGGAGAATCACTTGAATCCAGGAGATGGAGGTTGTGGTGAGCCAAGATCACACCATTGTACTTCAGCCTGGGCAGCAAGGTGAGGAAAGAAAGAAAGAGAGAAAAGAAAGAGAGA